TGTTATTGTTTTTTCCCAGTGAATACCCGGATGTATAGCAGAAATCTAGACTAGTTCGCGACCTCTGCTGCGCCATTCGTAAGCGCATTAGTCACTTTTATGGGTAGTAATAAGGGCGTATGGTCACATTGATCAACAAAATGAAATACAGTTTTCGAGATAATAAGGAAATGTAGGTATCTTTGTGAGTAGCATCGGTAATGACGACGAAGTTTTGAAAAGTCACTTGCTTGGTATTTTGCGATTTTCGTTTACACTATTTTGACTTGCAACACAAAGTATATATTTCACCTGAGCATATGCTTTTTTTATAGTGTGTATATTTTTTTACTGTCAAATGTGTAACAAATTTATTAAACGTCTAAATATTCAGTTATTTTACAAAGTGACTGAAAAACATTTCCATCTGTATTATTATGACAACGAATTCCAAACATTTTGATGTTTAATGTCATCACCAAGAGACTGAAAATGTAACGTTGAAAAGTACATTTCTAAGTTGTTTGGCTTCTAATCCTACATAATAATCTGTTGTGATGTTTGTAGGCGCTTTTGATCGTCTTGATCAATCTGGACAGATTTTTTTAGTCAAAATGACTGAAATATTTACACATTTTATAAATTGCCTGAGAGAATCACATTTTACAAATTGACGGTTATATATACACGCTTACAAAGGAAAAGACCTGTGAAAACAACGTCTATCGCGCATTGAAGAACCCAACCAAGACGTAGAGAAACAAGAACGAATCGGTTCAAATGAAGGAAAACAAAATGCAGATATCATAATTACAACCTACCAAATTTATGTGTATAAGTTTTAGGCAGCTTCCTTGTTCGAGGAATGTATCCGTGAATATCCACACAAAGGAACAATATCCCACTCGTCTGCAGCTGTACAAAGAAACTAATTCGATGTCACGTGTCCTTAGTAACAATCAAATATTTTAAAAGATATATATCGTTTCGGGATATTATAACCTGTGTTCGTTTCTCAACTGATCGCTTGGATTGTTTCAGGTGTTTTACATAGGTGTCAAGTCTCAATGGTCGGCTGAGAAAGCCCACGTGACAACTATTTTCATAGCGTCCACGGTTCCTAAAAATTCCATTGAGTGATAGATAACAATGATCAATCAATCAACGTATTATCAGTTAACCCTTTGAACAAAGTATGTTGTTTTTACATCGGCACTTCGCGCCATGATATGAGTGTATTCCCTTTGTTTTAGTAAACCTAGACATGTAAACACTCACTCTTGACATATCCACTGTGCGAGATAACAGTGATTAATCAATCAACGTATTTTCTGTTAATCCTTTGATGACTAGGAACGATCCGTTGATTTACAAAATAAAGTAAATCAACTGATCATTCATCTCTTGCTGGGCTGCCACGTGCATATTACATAACACACATTTCACCTCACTTCAAACCTGGATTTAGATTGAATAATTACCCCAGACACAATAAATGCCAAATGGGAATCTTTGTCAGGTAATATAAGTGGTGCTACCACTAATTGTACCTGTAATAAATTCATTAACCGAGCATCAAGTGAATGACGACAAATACACAAGTGTAGGGTTATACGAGAAAACGTGGATGACAACAAGGGAGTAGTAATCGTATTATCGACGCAAGCCGAAATCCGAAAATGCTTTCACTGCATGGATACTGTTTTTAGTATTAAACTATAACCATCTGGGGTATTTCCAAATGACGACATCCGATGAGCTCCCTTGTTCTTTTTGTCTGTTTGTTTAGGCTGAAGAAATGAATTAACATGCGCCCTTTGTCGAAATCTTTATAGATCACAGTTAACCAATCAGTGTTCAAAAATGCATAAAACAAATATTGCCTCCAGCCTCCAAGTTTATTTAGCTGTCCTTGCAGACGGTACCCCAGTCTCTGGTCACGCTCAGTTGCGTTGCGTATCATCCGGGTACTCACGGGGGAAAAACAATAACAAAGGCAACAACCAGTCCGTTAGATCAGTGCCCCTTTAAGTATAGATATTAGGTGAACATGCGGTGCCACAGTGAATATCTTCATACCAATAAATTTCATTCACATGGACGTGGCGCATGTTTTGAATGATAATCTCGAACGACAATTAAGAGTATGTACATCACAGAAATCCTTAGTGGTTTATGTTTATAATAATCAGCAGACACGAAAAGTCGACGTCTTGTCACCGTAGTTGTGGGAATTGTCTCAGTAAATACCACATACACGTGTATCTCATCTTTAGACGACTACAAATAACTCACCGTGAGATCGTGCAGCGCAGATACATCAGCAAACGTACAAGTGTTGTTTAAACGTCAGAAGACAACGCCAGTTTCGGAGTCTTATAAATTAAATTATATCTTACGCAGTTCTGGTGTTGATGTCAAATGACGTTATCTTGCTCGTCATTAACAAATACCTGGAACTCCACGGTCATCTGCCAACACTTTGCATTCAAGGTCATCTGGGACTTCCTCGGGCTTCACAAATAATCTGATTGTTTTTTAACGCTATGTAATTATATACATATGGCTTGTGGCTTATACAAGAATGGCATTTGAGCGATACTATAATCTTCTCGTCCTTTTGACTTTGATGGTCAAACTATTTACTATTTGGTTCCGACTACTTCAACGGTCACATATGGCTCTCCATGGTACTCACTTTTTAATCTACCCAACGCTTTAGAGGGGAGTATTTGAATCAATCAGCTTCTTTAAAAGTTAAAAAGGACAAAAAAACAAAAAAAATTCTGTGACAATAAGAAATCTCTACGAGAAGCAAAGTTCATTGTACGATTCCAACTACCTCATAAACACGTATTCTTGAATCACTATCAAATAGTGATGATACCAGGTGTTCGCGAAAAGGTGAGCATATCCTGACCCAGTGGTGGCAGCCGTCACAAACACTTGCACGGGCACGTCAACCTGAAAACTCTCCGAAAACTTTACTTAGGTACTTAAGACTCACATGACGCTCTTTAAAATCTTCGTAGAAAGAGCATGGTCAACTGTACCTCAAAAGTTGTGAAATGTTGACACCCAAGGCTGGAGTTGCTGGAATATTGCTCGACCTGAAGGGATAAGTTGGCTATTTGAAAACTGAAGATATCGCCTCTTGTCAAACAGACGTGTTATGAGTTTTATTTTGTCACCCTGAATCTTTATGCCCACTGTGTACCGTATGAAATAACTACTATAGCAGCATGAAATATTCCATAAAATTATACATTTTTACTCCCAGTCGTGGTACGCGTTCATGATGTTTCACAATACATTTCAATTGAACAGGGCTTTATCCTGCCAAGGTATATTCAGCTTGGAAAGGGATGTTGTGTTAGATGGCAGTGAGCGATTGACCAACAATATCTCAGCGTCCTGTTAATATTCGAGCATCGGCAAGGCATATGTGTTGTCGGCTGTCAGCGAGCATTGACTTATAGTGGCATACCACAGTTATACCCTGATAAATCAAAATGTATTTTATAACCACCATTTAACAAAGACTTGTCCTTGGAAATATATTCTGAAATTCTTCGGGAAGATAGGGTTTCCGGAACTACCGCGATTTCACTGAAGAGTGAGTGAGTGAGTGAGTTAGGGGGTGAGTGAGTGAGTGAGTGAGTGAGTGAGTCAGTGAGTGAGTGAGTGAGTCAGTGAGTGAGTCAGTGAGTGAGTGAGTCTACCGGCACTTTGAACAATGTTTCATGGTTTGTCAGCTTGTTTTGAGAGGACAGATTCAAGGGACACATACTCTCCTTTGTGGAAAGGATTATTGTGTCACATGACCAAGGATAATATACCGCCTCCGTGGTATGGTGCATAGATAGTCTGCCTTGAGCGCAAAGTCGGTGGTTCTATGCTCGTTACGGTCATACTAAAAAGACGCTAAAGGATGGTACTTTTCGTTACCCTGCCTTGCGATTGGCATAAATGAGATAAAACGTGGACTGTTCGGCCTGGAGTCAGTATACTGTCATGGTCTGAGCGTCATATCTCAGTAGGCTAGCTCTAAACGGACTAGTTCAAGCAGTCCCACACACGCGCACACACACACACACACACACACACACACACACACACACGCAAACATTCACACAAACACACACAGAGTTGCATGCACGTCGCTAATGGGGGCAATAATCTTTGAATTTAGCGACATTTAAATCCCATTTCACCTTACCGCAACCCATGGATAATAATTGGTCCGAAGCTGTGATTTCTCCCCATGATCCTGGCACGGCAAAGGGTCGCAACACAGCGAATAGCAGCGCGTTCGACCACCAGATCACTCGTGCCCATTGAAAACACACAGATGAGCAGACACAGGGTTTTCTGCTATAGGGGTTATTGAAGTAGTCAATCTGAATTTGTTCGTGTCTGAGGCTTCTATGAACACAAGATATCCTCAAAGGCCTACTTCGGGGAGCATTTACATCTATAGAAGGTGTAGATTTGTTTGAATAATATATACTTCCTGAAAGGCAGCAATCTCAAAATTATCCATTTGAGTCACCCCCCTTTGGTTAGCTATGGCAGCGGAGAGATCGATTTTCCACTCTTGCATTGTTTGTAAGAGACTCTAATTTCATCATGTTTTGATTACAAAGCAAATTAGTCAGGATATGGTTATTTCAATCCATTCAACGAGACAGTCAAATCTCAGTGGCAGAATATAGGACAGTTGCTAGAGCCTCATATACTTATATACAATGTGCCTTTGTTTCTGTTTGTCTGTGTATTCTTTCCTTACAAACATTTCACTCAGCAAACTTTTCCCAATAGCAATATTCTTACAGTAAAGGCATTAAGTCATTTATCAGTTTTAATTCTCCGGTATGAAACTTAAGTAAATCAGTAAATGATGTGCGAGCAATGTTATAGAGGAGTGACGTATTAACTACCAAGCTCATATAGTCAGTGTAGTGTAACGAATATAGGTTTCAACATTCCTGACACGCTGGCAGTGAACATACATTCATTATGTGAACACAGAGCGGCCGGACTATGCGTGTAACAGTTTTCTCCCTCCCGACGCAGTCACGACAATAGGAGCCTTCAGTGTGTGTGCAGGCATTCTCACTCCAGGTAACGCACACCAGACGCGACCAATATACTTGTCAACCACCACGGATACAGCCGCTGTACTCATTCTCCTCGGGGAGGGCGTAGCAGTGTGAGTGAATCTGTTGAGTTGAGGGGGCACGAGCCTATAGCTCCTTGTTGCAGCAATGGATTTCCGGGACGCTAGCAAGGTGAATGTCAACCGGCGATGTCTTTATTTTTTTATATTCCTTTTCCTTGCCCTGCCTGTGGTGGTGGGGGTATTAGTATGGTATTTTATCCCCAAATGTGACGGGAGTGATCCTTCATCGGAAAAGATTTCTGGGGATGGGTCCACCACAGCGCCCGTTCCAACTACCCCTGGTTTCTCGGAGACAGAACCCTGGAAGAATCTCCGTCTACCCCGATATATCGTACCGCTGCATTACGATCTCACCCTGTACCCGGATTTCTATGGTGATAACGGGTGGTTTTACGGAAATGTTACTGTAGAAATCAAGATCAACAAAGACACGGACTATGTGCTTATTCATTTTAATTACCTCAACATCTCGAAAACTGAACTCCGTGAAAATGACACGAACAATCAGATCGGCATCAAGAGGACATTTGCATATGCAGAAAACCAGTTCTGGGTCATTGAAACAGCTGTGACATTGAGGCAAGGTGCAAGTATTAAACTGTCCCTACAGTTTGACGGTTCGCTCACCAAAGCAATTGTTGGCTTCTACAAAAGCAGTTACGTCAACTCTCAAACAGGCCAAACCAGGTAGGCTCGTGTATTCAGACTTCTTTGTGTGTTAAAGTTCTGGAATAGTAATGTGGAGGTGGGTCACTTTATACGTGTTGATGTGTTGAATGTGACACACGGCACGACGAAGGTGAGGTGTGACATTAACAAACAAATCTCTCTCTCACGTCGCTCTCTCTCTCTCTCTCTCTCTCTCTCTCTCTCTCTCTCTCTCTCTCTCTCTCTCTCTCTCTCTCCCACATATATACATTATCTTTGAACAATTCAGTACAAGGTATGGACTTAAAATAAGCTACTCAATTTTCTGTTATTGTTTATATCAAGACTGTGTAAATTGACGCGCAAGCTACATTAGCTCATGTCGATCTATGCACCTAACTACGTTGATGCACGATGAAGCATTGTTTATCATGTGTACATTTAATTACCAATCACGTCTCAAAGACAGTGTTCTTCTGTGTCTATTTGTAACCTCATTCCCCAAGGGAGGATAATAAGGTTCTCCCGACTCTGTGTTGTGTGCTTGGGGAACAACGCCAGTTAGTACATGAAAGATGACCAACTGACCCCAACATTCGATTTATGCTTTGTCTATTAATTACCTCATGACGGCAGATAGAACAAGCACACGTCATCTCTCAGAATTAATGCACTGAGCGACAAACATCCACACGCTTTCAACATTTACTCACGCCATGCGCAAGAGAAGGAAGCATTTCTTTCCTTATATGAACTATCCGAACGTTGGCAATGATTTCAACTGAATGATTTATGAAAGATAATGCATTTGATCAACATACAGTAAACTACGTCTATAACGAACACGCTTATAACGAACTGACCGATATAACGAACTTATTTTTAGTCCCGGTCATGTGTTGTATATTATGTATATATGCGTATAACGAACTACGGTTATAACGAATTAAAATTAGTGGTCCCTTTGAGTTCGTTATAACCGTAGTTAACTGTAAACGCAAATAAAAGAGACAAAACCCTTTCCTTATCAACGGAATCTCTTCTAGAAGCCTCGTCCATTGTACGATTCCGTCTATATCATGAGCATGTGCTCATAAATCACTTTATTTAATAATAGTGATGATATCAGGTGTTCACGAAAAGATAAGCATATCCTGCCACGCCAGTGAACCCCGTCACAAAGTAACAAAGATTTGTACACAATTCACGCAATACATGCGTTGATTGAGTAACATTGTCACAAACCCCATCCCTCATCGGATAGCGCGGGACAAACCGCCTTCACACCTTCCCCGGAAATTATCAGATAAATGCAAGAAGCCCAAAATAATCAGGTTGATCCCTCAAACCACCATATTGTCGATACAGCTTGTGTGAGTGTTTGTGTTCTAATTATCGCATGATGCACGTCAAGAGCTTCATATCTCTACATTCCCTTGAAGATCCGGGTTAGAATAGGTCTTCAGTAACCCATGCTTGCCGTAAAAGGCGACTATGCTTGTCGTTTGAGGCGACTAACGGGATCGGGTGGTCAGGCTCGCTGGTTTGGTTGATGAATGTCATCGTATCCCAATTACGCAGATCAATGTTCATGATGTCAATCATTGGATTGTGTGCCCCAGACTCGATTATTTACAGACCGCCGTCATATATCTGGAATATTGCTGAGTGTGGCGTTAAAGAAACATAAGAAAAATCATATCTCTACATTCGCACAGTTGTCCAACTTGTTCTGAGGACTGACTTCATTGTTAACACCATGGGACGGAAAGGAACAGTTTTTCCAGCTGGCACCTCGTTGATCTTGAATGGTTGTGTGGACACACCCCATAACCTGCAGGCATACATTTAGAACGTGAGATGGATTCTATGTTAAACAGACCGCCACCGTGGTCTAGTTGATAGAGCGTCTGCTCGGAGAAGGGATGGTCGGTGGTTCGACCCCCGGCCGCGTCATACTAAAAGACGTTACTTATTATTATCCTGGGGGGGCACGGGTGCCCCAGTCGTCTAAGGCGCCGCGATTCGCTGTGCAGAGTTGCGTCCCTTGGACACGCCAGAAACCTATGATTGTGGGTTCGAATCCCGGTTCACCCCGATTATGTTTCTAGGTTTGTCAGCACCATACCCGTGTTCGTGGGTTTCACCGAAGCGGTAAACGTCTGAGACCTGCATCACTTCGGGCTTTCCTCCCACATTAAGCTGACACGCCGTGATATAACTGGAATACTGTTAAAAGCGGCGTTAAACCCAACTCACTCACTATTATTATCCTGCCGGACGCTCTGCTCGGCTTCAAGGTCTGGTCGGTTCAGAGTCAGTTGGGTTTACGGGTTTTCGCTGTATAGAATATAAATCTCACTATCTTGCAACTTTAAGCAGAAAACCACAGTACATTGTCGTTACTACACATACCTGTAGGATCTATTTCTGCAAACATGCTCTACGAGGTTTCTGAGTGACAACGAAGCGTTATGCATTACCTGACCTATATATTCATATATATGTGTGTGTGTGTGTTGTTTTGACAAGGCGCGAAATATTCTCGTTACCTCGAGAAGGTAACGCCGTGCACAGCCGGAATGAATTGTGGTTCATGAGACTGTTTTCTCGTAAACTGTGAACGAGTGATGTACTGGTTACAGCCACACTCGCGTACCTACCTGCACTAGAACTCTGGATACGGAAGCATTGTTTTAGTATTGTCATAATATTAAGTTGAAGAGTTTTAAATAAAATAGATACGAGATTTCAGGACTCGGTATGACCGAATCCAGTTATGTAGCTTTTGAGTTTATGAACCCCCGAAGTCTCAGAAGGAAGGACAATTCTTCAAACATGCATCCACAGCTAGAGACTCACAATCGGAATTTCTCATTTCTGTGAGGACATTTATATCAAACAAATGATTAGGAGTGAGTCAGTGAGTATGGTTTTACGCCGCTTTTAGCAATATTACAGCAATATCACGGCGGGGGACACCGGAAATGGGCTTCACACATTGTACCAATGTCGGGAATCGAACCCGTGTCTTCGGCGTGACGAGCGAACGTTTTAACCACTAGGCTACCCGACCGCCCCAAATGATTAAGAATTGACTTCAAAATACTTTTGCATTTGTTGAGGTAGAAACATAAAAAACAGTGTGCTCGCTTCGTAAATCGGCAATCCAGATTTACAAAAAGTGTGCACGTTAGTTTTTACGTGTATGCCTCCATAAGCGCAAAAAAATAAATTATTATAAATAAATATGTTAATAAAAATTTCATAAACTGCTTATTTAATTATCAACACAAAAAAACTGTCGACAACGATACGAAATCCGTTATATTTATCAGCGACCACAATGCAACAGAAGTTGACCCTGTTAACAGCAACGCGGTAACCAGTGGCCCAGTATTGTGCGTGGGCTTGTTAGTTCAATGGAAACATAAATGCAAAATACATTGCTTGGTTAGCCAATAAAATGCTGACCCGTGAAGATCCGGGGTAGGATAGGTATTCAGCAACCCATGCTTGCCTAAATGGCGGTTATGCTTGTTGTAAGAGGCGTTAAACAACAAACAACAACAATATATTGCTATAGAATCACATACAATTTGTTTTGCACCTGCACATGTTGCAACAGTTATGTACATGACAAAGCAGTTGCTCGTACAAACATATTTGAATCAACCGATTTAAACCTGGAGCCCAAGCTTTTTATATGTAGGATAAAGTATTAAAGTGAACAATTAATGCATACTGATCAGGACATCATGCGCAATCAAATACAGTTAACTATATAACGAACACGCTTATAACGAACTCACCGATATAACGATCTTATTTTTTAGTCTCCGCCATTTGTTGTATATATGCTGTATATTAGCTTATAACGAACTACGGTTATTACGGACTAAAAAAAGTGGTCCCCTTGAGTTCGTTATAACCGTAGTTTACAGTAGCAAAAAAAGTCGAGTCATTCTCAACAAGTGCATCTAAATCAGGAACCAAAGGAACAAGAGCAGAGCGACAATAAATACGATACTGTTCTTCGTTTTACAAGTGATTTGGCGCAACGACCATCGTTTATGTACAAACCTTGCTATATCTCGTAAGTCTATTTAAGCTGTGAGAGTTACTACAGTCGTATCGCTGAGATTGCTTTGTGGAACGATGCCCGTGCATCATGTCCACTGAGCTACCTTAGCACAGTGACCATCGTAGCTCCGAGGTTTCAACATAGACTTACAATGGACGAAGCACTAAGTAGCACTAAGCAGCACTAAGTAGCACTAAGTAGCACTAAGTAGCACTAATATGTATGCTGTGTCATCGAGTATAGTTTGAGATGAGCGTATTACTTCTCTATAGCTTTTGCTATTTTTTCTTCCATATACAAGTTGGTCGCGTGTTTTGAAGTGGGTTTACATCTTCGCTAACGAACTATGATCATTGTTTGCGACGTGTTGTTAATAGTGCGAACGGAAGCGTGCTGTCAATATACAAGAGTCTGTAAATTGACTGCTAAATGCCTTAAAGGGGTGTTAGACGCTGGGGTTTTTAGCGGTCCGAGGAGATTTAATTGCCGAACACCAATTTGTTGCTAGTTCAAATTTTAGTAGGTCTATCAATCTAACAGTTACTGATTACGCGAATTACTCGAGACCAACTCAGTTGCACATGTGGCATTAATGACATCGTCTAGAACGAGGCAGAAAAGGGACCCCAGACCGAGTGCCCGTTTAATGTTCTCAATCAGTACAAACCATTAATATTATTCTAACAATGGCAAATGTGGGAATTCCTTTCATGCATGATTTTAAATGTTGTTATTTGGTAATGCTGTTTGTCGTGAGACTATACCAACAAACTTCAGTTTGTGTAACATAAACGCCACACATTCAGACATCCTTCAATGATAAAGATAACTGTTCGTCAATTCCACACCTGGAGAATGGCACCTTTATTAGCTATCACCCTTAAGGAAGAATGTTTTATTCTCTGAGGGTGGTCGGCATCTGTCAGTCCCATCTCATCCCCTCCCCCACCAGATC